CGCGGCTTTGGCATGCTTGTATAGGATGTTATGTCGAGCCACTCAGGTGGGTGTGACTCAGATCGGAGGACCCCTTGTCTTGCTACAGGTTAGTAAGAATTTTATTACATGTCAATTCATATTGTATGGCATATATCAGTATTGTAATTGCGTTCAAACTATTGCAGATTTGGGTGTGGGAGAGATTGATTCGCATTGCCCCATCTAGGTGGCAACTAGTTGCTCCTGGTGAGGTTCCCATCGGGCAGGGAGACATGCAGATGCCGGTCGGACCTCGAGGTAGCTGGTGGAGGGTTGACATGAGCCACGAGGTCGTATCGACCCACGTAGTGGTCGTGTATAGAGACCAGCTTGACCGGATGATAGACGGCGAGGTATCAAATTTATATACCTAAATTTTAATTGTCATATGGACTGTATATGTTTATGAGTGATTTTTAATAGACTTGTCGTTATTGTAGTTTATTTGGCAGCCTTATGCTGATGTCCTCCAGATGCTCCCAGACTACTGCCGCCTAGGTGAGGATATATGGATGGCGAGAGTACCACTCATTTGTTTTGACGTGGTTGAGTGGCATCTCCCTGATCGTGTCCTCCGACAGTTTGGTCGGGTCCAGGCCGTGCCGGATCGGTGTGACACCGAGTGGCGGTTGCATGCGACGGATAGACGTGGCCGAGCCAGCACTGACTGGAGTCAGCATCATATGCGATACATACAGTTGTGGGATGCCCGTCGCGACACTATTGTACAGGCTGACTGGAGCGATGGGGTCCTCCCCTCTCCCGACCCTTACATGTTGTGGTATCGGCGACATACACACCTACTTGTCGGTAATCCGAGCCACCTGTCCGAGGCCGGATATCAGGGAGTTGGGCCTTCTCTCGAGGCATTGGTGAGTATCGTACTATATGTCCGATAATTGTTAATATCATAATTGATTATTTTCAGTCAACTATAGCCTAATATATCTGATTTTTTTTCCAGGTGGTTCGAGTTGGGAGGTCATATCACTTGGCTGAGGATGCTATTTTCAGACGTGATGGACAGCTTGGTCTGCAGGCCCTTGTAGAGATCAGAGAGTTATTGTACGAGGGGATCCAGCATGCCCATCGGGTAGATCGTCTGCATTTTGGGGACTACGGTGTACACACTGCAGCAGCTGCTCCAGACACATCAGTCCCGTCCACGTCAGTGCCTTCCAGTTCAGCGCCAGCCACAGCAGGTCCTTCGACTTCAGTCACCCCACCACATGATACCCCATACATTTCTCCATATTCCCCACACGTACATCTTACCCAGCATGCTGACCCTGACCCTGATTGGTCACCGCCCCGCTTCATGCATGATGTTATTACTCCACCCACCCAGTTACAGCCTTGTTAGAATTTCCCATCTTTACCTTCACCTACTCCACTACACACTCCACTTCACCTACCTCCACTTCACCACACACTCCACTTCACCTAACCCACTATCACCTCCACTACACCTACTACCACATTTTCTTCTATATATAGATTGTATAGGAATTGTAATTTATAAAATCTTGTATCAGATATCAATCAATAATATACATCAATATTTTAACACTGACCAAGATACATCGTAATACCCTTCTCAATAATTTTCTACAATCTAAATACAACCACCCCCATTTGCAAGGTTAGTAGTAGATTCTAGATCCTAAGATTCCTTTTTCTCACCTTCCATTTTAAAGCCTAGATTTTTGAATTAAGACCAACTTGCCCTAGTCTCTGTGGTTCGACACCCGTTCTCAACCGCTATTCTATGTAGTAGTAGTTGCTACCGGTTTTATTCATTTTATTTTAGTGTGCAAACGACCAACCAAATTTTGGCGCCGTTGCCAGAGACTTCTAGTAAGTTATTTAATTTAGAAATTTCAATTAGTTTTGTTTTTTTACTGATGTTTCTTTTTGTGCAGATTGTCTTGTACAGGTGAACTAAAAAAAAAACAAAAAAATATATATAAATATAAAAAATAAAAAATTCATACCTTAACGTTGGGAAATTATCATTACCTGTGCTAGACAAATGATATTTGGACTAATGTAGAGGACTAACATTATTATTATTGTTGTTGTAATTTTGCAAGATTTTCAAAGTGAATTACCGCCTTATTATCTTGTAAAATTTTGTTTTGTTTTGTTTTTATCGCACTTTTCTTTATCGCAATTTACTTGCTACAATTTAATTTTACTTAAAGGGTAGTCTGAAACTCCCTACATGTACATTTATTGTTAGAATTTACCAATTTACTCCTCCACCTACCATCTCCACTAGCACCCACTTCACCTACCTCCTCCACTACACTACACCTACTACCACCTTCTCTTCTATATATAGGAGTTGTAATACATAACATAACATCAATCAATCTTGTAACAATCATCAATCAATAAATACATAAATTCTTACAATTTGTTTGGTGAATGAGTTTTGAATTGAGTAGGAAATTTTTGATGTGACATATGATATTTGATACAAAAACTTACAACTCATAACTAAACACACAACTCAAAATTCTATTAAAGCTCATAAATTTTTTTAAAAAATTCGGAAAATATTTTTTGTTGAATATATAAAAATTAACATGTGTCAATTGCAAAAAAAATAAAAATAAAAATTGCACTGTTCTGATCAACTGGCCGAACGACCGGTTAGTCCAAATTTTCCCGCCTTTGACTGAGTTTTCAAAAGTGAGCATTGAATTAATTTTTGAAAGCTGCAAACAAACACCACGTGAGAACCAATGACTGGAACTAAAGTTTCAAAACTCAAACAAACAGAACCTTAGCATTTTTATGTAGTTTTTTTTATTTTTTTTATTTTTTTAAATCTTTTTGGAGGGCATAAATAATTTTTAAAAATTCAAAAATATATTTTTGATGTTTATTTTTGTCAAACTAGTTTCTATTTAAAAAAAATAAAAAATAAATTCATAAAATAATTTCAGAAAACCAAACCAAACATGGCCTATGTTTTTCTAGTTACTTTTCCCTTACAACTTTATACTTCATTATGCTTTATGGTAGAGTGACTATCTATGAAACATATCATGTTCCGATACCTACATCATATTCTAGATTGGATTGGTATTTGAGGCATGCTCAATTCATCTGGAAATTACAATTCAAAGTTTAGCCTGACTGGTGGATTGTACAGGTAGCTGCCTCTGAAGCTGGTGGGATTACCCAAGGAATTGGGGCATATAGAGTGCTGGTACCTATTGATGGCAAGTTGGAACCATGTGTTTTTCTTGATACTCCTGGACATGAGGTAACTTCTTTCTCCGTTTGTTGTTCTAACTTTGGATTTCTTTGCCAGATATGTGTAGTTCTCTCTGTCTATCTCGTTGGATAGTTTGTGGATTTGTTTAATTCCTGTTTGAGCTTCTAGTTACCCTTTGGTTGTGGGATGTTTTGTTTTGTTTGTGAACAATAACTTGCTCATTTTGTCTTCCCATGGGCCTGTTTGGTGCAGCTTCTTGCAAGCTAAAAGTTGATAATCAGAAACAGAAGCTAAAAACATCTTTCCTTGCTTCTCAATAATCAACTTTTTTAGCTTATTTAAGCTATTTGTGCCTCATAAGTTATAAGTGAAAGCTGCACCAAACACTGGCACAGATTTTTAATATGAAAAAAAAGCTATAAGCAGCCCCATAAACTGCACCAAACCGAGCCTATAGATGATATCTGTTATGTCCACTCCTGTAGGCATTTGGGGCAATGAGAGCTCGTGGAGCGAGGGTGACAGACATTGCTATCATTGTAGTGGCTGCTGATGATGGTATCCGTCCTCAAACAAATGAGGCCGTAGCTCATGCCAAAGCTGCTGGTGTACCTATTGTGATTGCCATAAATAAGGTATCTTAGTTAGATATACTGGCACCTGGCTGTGCTTATAACCTGGCTGTGCTTATTGCTCCTCGTACATCACTCACTTTTGGTCCCATTCAATGTTGGTTCAAGAGTAGGAGACTCTCAGTTTTATTTTGTTATTCCAGATAGATAAGGATGGAGCTAATCCAGAACGAGTTATGCAAGAGCTTGCTTCAATTGGTTTAATGCCAGAGGATTGGGGTGGTGATGTCCCAGTGGTTCAGGTGTTTATACTACAGCTGCTCTAGTACAGCACATAGAATTGTATTTTTATATTGAAATGATGCTTTATACATTTTTGGTGATGGTTGTTGTCTTCTTGATGTCCTTTTAACAGATCAGTGCTCTTAAAGGGGAGAACGTAGATGAGTTGTTGGAAACCGTCATGCTGGTTGCAGAGGTAAGTTAAATTTTCTTGATGTGTTGACTTGCTGGTCTGGACATTCTTCATGGATTAAATCACGTTTCTCACTTTTTTTGTTATTATAAATGCATCTACTTGTTCCTCCCCTCTCTCCTGGCCCCACAAAATTATTACTCAGAAATATTGATTTATGTGTTTGAAATATAGATATCTCGCAACAAATTCAATTCTGTATAGGCAGATTATTAATAGTTATTTTTTGCTTCCTAATATGCTATACAAGTGTCTGATTGGGTGCATGTTCATTTAAATTGCATCTCTATTTGTCGTTCTATTGTTCATCTGAAAGACCATGACCATACTGATTTACAATTTCTCCAGAATAATGACTCTAGATTATGAGATTGGAGGCAAGAAAAACTGTAAATGACTCAATGAGTAGCTTGTAGATATTCACATATGCAAACGTAGTTTCCCTTTTGGCCATCTGTGGGAATTCCTGCAAATAGAATACTAACTATTTTTCTTGCTTGTATATTCTCATGAATGAACAAATTAGTTAAGATGCTTAACTAGTTAAGAAAGGAAAGCTCCCAAATCCTGAATTTGATTTTATCTTATACAAGTTAATTACTTTGGTTTGTTGCTATTTGTACAAGGTTCTGATAATATAATTAGTAACAATCTTCTTTTTATTACGTGTGTTATCATTCACAACAACTAGTATTATAAAGTGACTTTTCTATGGTAAAAAATAGAGTGAGTTGTATTTTCATTTGTCTTGCCAACTCTTTCTTGATTTGTTTAAATGTGGATATGTACGAACAAATATTTTTTTTGGTTGTTTCATAAAAATGTAGCGTATTAATTCTTGGAATGTTAATGATAAATAGTTTATTTTTCTTGCTTCTTTGTCTGCTTTCTATGTCTCTAACTTACTGCTCTGTTTGTAATTGAAGTTGCAAGAGTTGAAGGCTAATCCTCATAGAAGTGCAAAGGGCACAGTAATTGAGGCTGGTCTTCATAAATCTAAGGGACCATTAGCTACATTCATTGTGCAGAATGGCACCCTTAAAAGAGGGGATATAATTGTTTGTGGTGATGCCTTTGGAAAGGTTTGCAAATACGAGCTAAACTTGGAAACATTTTTCTTTTTAAAAAGATAAAAGCCACTGCTTAACTTAGCATTGCCATGATGACTATTTTTCCCATTGTCAGGTTAGGGCTTTATTTGATGACAAGGGGAATCGTGTTGATGAAGCTGGACCTTCTTTACCTGTAGAGGTTCATAATTCTTTAACCTTTTCTAGTTTGTTATTTTATTAAATACTTTAGTCTTATAAATATTGTCTTTTCATGTTATAACTGATCACAAAGCAAGGGCTTGGTTGAGCATGACAACATTTGTGGCATTCCTTCTTGGACCAGAGTTAAGAATCTGAGTTCTCAGCTTGATTTCTATAAGTGATTCTTTCAATTGGAAAATTCCACATCATTAAGGGAGGGTTGTATATCTTGCCACTTGAGATCATTGGTGATAAATTTTCATAATTTCCCATATTTGAGAGCCATAATAATTTCTGCTTAATTAATACTAATCTACTTTGATTTCCCTGTATGAGGCCATGTGCTCAGCTCAACATTATCTTCCAGACTCTTGAAGTCATTGTTTTTGGGGTTATTTATATGATATAATAAAGAGCACGGAGATGCAAAATCATGCCTGTCCATGAACCTTGCTTAGTTTTATGACAGTGACACACAGAAGATATGAATAACCAGCCGTCTTATCCCTGTATCACTTTATAGCATGTCGTTGATTACTGATGCCAATTCTAAGTTGAAACTAAATTGAGAGTTACCTCTCGGTCAAAAGGTTGTGGGCCTATTGGTGTTCATTGGACAGTAGATCTCTCCTCATGCTTTCTCATATGATTTTTTGGCTTGAATTTTTCTGGAATGTTTAACTGATAGGACTTCAGTAATTGAACATATACGTTGAAGTATAATTAAAAATGGTGGTTTTGGGATCCCCCAAGAGACTTTCAAGGTTGTTAAGTGTGGTAGAATTGTTTGAAAATCAAGTTGTTTTATGTTGTAATGATAGGAAATAGATAAGAGGGTTCATGATGAAAAAAAGATATTTGATGAAGGTTCAATTCCATTTGGCCGTGTTTGGATGGAAAGAATCAAAGATATGGAAAGGGAATCCCGTATTAGTAGTCCCATCACTAGTTGTAAGATTTCCATGTCAGTTCAATTCATGTGTTCAAACTCAACCTATTAACGTTGAGGTTATAGGTGTTAGCATAATATATTATTATTTGGGTTATTATTTGTAATTATTCTATGTCCTAGGGCTCCCTTGTAATTATTAATCTTCATTAATATAAATAGGGGGTGATATCTTAATCATTCCCTAATCTTGAATTTTCTAAAATCATCATGGTATCAGAGTCACAACCCTAAATCCTTCCACCACACCTGTCAGCCACCCTAACCCCACCACACAGGCACCACACAGCTACCTATTTAGTTTCGGTAGGTGTAACTCCTTTCCCTAGCCCTGTCGGCTACTACCGGAGGGCTTCTTGGCCCAGTCGATCCCTGTTAAAGCCTGTCGGAGGCAGCCCTAGCCTCGTTACTCGCTATCGTAGGCTACCCAGCCTTGCTGGTATCCTCTGACAGGCCTCTTGGCCTCGTCGCCTCTTCCTACTGGCTATCCCAGCCTTGTCGTGTCCTCTGATCACCTCGCTCGACCTCATCGACTTCTTTGATAGCCTCGATAGACCTAGTTGATAGCCTCTGATGGTCTGTTGCTTCTTAGTTATGCTGCTATAGTGCCTTTCTTGCTTTGTCGGTTTTTTTTGTCACCTCTTTATTCTCTGTTTGTCTCTGGTTTCTTGAAAAAAAAAAAAATGCAGTGAAGAAAAAGAAAAAGAAAAAAAAAAAAGGTTCATGAATTTTTAAGTCTTTAATTTTCTTATTGGTCATTGTGTTTATATTCCTCCACTTTTAGGACTTGTGATTGGCACTAGTTTTGTTGAGGGTTTGGTAATACAGTATCTATGGCAGATTTCACCGGTGTGTCCACTACTTCTTAGACACCTAGGAGTGAGAGTTTCCCTATACCTACTACTATGACTGATAACCCTAGTCTTAAAATCACTACCTCTCTATTTAATGGTAGGAACTATCTCGCATAGTCATAGAGTTTGACTATGTTTTTGAAGAGTAGAGAGAAGATGGGTTATGTAGATGGCATGATACTGACACCCAGCACCACTGACTCGAGTTATGACCAATGGGAGATTACCAACTCTTTGATTATGGATTGGCTTTGTTAGAATTTACCATCACCTACCATCACTACCACCTCACCTACTCCACTAAACCTAACCCACTACACCACTACACCACTACCACCTCACCTACTCCACTAAACCTAACCCACTACCACCATCCACTACACCTACATCTATATAAGGAATCATTTGTAATAGATAGAATAACACATCAATCAATAATAAGATCATCAGATACATTTATTCTCTGTATTTTTCTCTTTATACATTGATTTTTTACAGGCTTATTCATTCGATGGTTCCAGAAATTGGTGAGGGCTACTTGTCTATGAAGACTGCCCAGGATGTTTGGGATGCTGTGGTTGCCACCTATTCCTGCAAAGGGAATTTCTCATAGGCATTTGAGTTGCGCGCTCTATTGAAAGCTCTGTTCAGGAGGAGCAAACTGTTCTTTAATACTTCACCTTCCTTACCAACGGCTGGAAACGCCTTGATTACCTGCAGGACTATAAGCCTGTTTGCACCGCTGATTCAGTCGGGAACAGGAAGTTCATCGCACAAGAATGGGTCTTCAAGTTTCTGGCGGGCCTCAATGTGGAGTATGATCCAGTTAGGAGTCGAGTTTTGGGTATGGACACTCTTCCTTCACTTCAGGAGGCATTTGCCTATGTACAGAATGAGAAGAGTCGCTGGTCTGCTATGATGTCCCGTCTCTACTGACCGCTTAGCATTACTGTCTACCCCTCGAGATGGCTTCAGCCTGACTCCCATTCCTCCGTCTGTAGCCAAGGAGTCTATATTCTGTGATTACTGTAAAAAGCTACGGCATACTCGTGAGACGTGTTGGAAGCTTCATGGGCCTCCATCCGGGGATCGAGGTGATTGGTCTGGTTCTAGAGGAGGTCGGTCAGGCTAGTCTCAAGGATGTGGCTCCCATCCACGGGGTCATCAGTCTAGTGCCATTGATACACTTGATGTTATTTCCGCTTTCGTTGGCCAGGCTTTTCATGGTCTCTGTGGCATGACAACCCATGAGCTTGAGGATGTTTTCCATCGCTTGCTAGATCGCCGGTCTTTTACTGTTCTCAGTACATCTTTCTCGTCGTCTGTCCGCTCAGGTAATTTAGCATTTTCTCCTTGTGTTTTCTTATCTCATAAGTTTTTGCTCTGGATTATTGATTCTGGTGCCTCAGATCATATGGCTGGATCCTCTGACATTTTCTTTGCCTATAAGCTCTCTTCAGGTCAGGACAAAGTTAGGATTGCAGATGGTACTGTTTCTTCCATTTCTGGGAAAGGTTTAGTCCATGTCACTCTTACCATATCTCTATCTTCTATTCTCTATGTTCTCAATTTTTCTATTAACCTGTTCCGTGAGTCGTATTACCCAGGATTTGAATTGTAGTGTGACGTTTTTTCTTGATCATTGTCTTTTTCAGGACCTTGTCATGAGGAGGATGATTGGCAGTGGTAGTGCAGCAAATGGTCTCTACTTCCTGGATCAACTGGACAAGCTTGCTCATTCTTCCACCACGAGTCCTACTACCCAAGATGATTTATGGCTGGGGCATCGGCGTCTTGGACATCCTTCTTTTATTTACTTAAACATTTATTTCCATCTGGTTTCGCAAACAATAATAATGTGTCTGAGTTTCTTTGTGAGTCTTGTCAACTTGGAAAACAACACAGACCTTCTTTTGCTCCCAGTTTTGATAAAAGTTTAGTTCCTTTTTCATTAATACATTCTGATGTTTGGGGTCCTTCTCGTGTTATGTCTGTGAAAGTTCATTGATGGTTTGTTACATTTATTGATGATTTTTCTCGTACTACTTGGGTGTATCTCATGAAAGACAAGAGTGAGATTTTTTCTGTGTTCTACAATTTTCATAAGATGATTTGTACTCAGTTTGGGACCACTGTCAAAATATTCCGTTCTGATAATGGGGGTGAATACATAGATTCTGGGTTAGGGCAATATTTTTCTCCTTATGGCATTATCCATCAGACCTCTTGCACCAATACCCCTCAACAAAATGGGATGGTGGAACGCAAGAATCGCCATCTTCTTGACATGGCTCGGGGCATGTGTTTTTTTATGAGTGTGCCTCGATCCTACTGGGGCAATGCTGTTCTCATCGCTGTCTATCTTATTAATCGTCTTCCTACCCAGGTCTTGCAAAAACAAGCTCCTCTTCAAGTCCTCCTAGGTTCCGAGTCCTTGTTTTCTATTCCTTCCAAAATATTTGGCTGTGTCTGTTTTGTCCATAATCACTCTCCTACTCGTGATAAGTTGGACCCTCGCTCCCTCAAATGTGTTTTTCTTGGTTACTCTCTTACTCAAAAAGGGTATAAGTGTTACCATCCTCCTTCTTGTAAGTGATTTGTGTCCATAGATGTCACTTTCTTTGAGTCCTAGTTCTATTTCTTGTCCTCTTTGGTGTCACAGTCCTCCCTTCATGGGGAGCCTTGGTGTGAAGTGATTCCTGTTGTGGAACCAATTGTTCTTGTACCACCACCTCCTATTGGGACTACAGAACTCAATGTCACCAAGGATAAGGAAGGGCAAGTGTATGTCAGTGACAAAGACAAACAGAAAGTTAAACTGGATACAAGAGACCATTTCTGCTTCTCCATTGCCATCTTCTGCTTCTGATGAGAGTCTAGATAACTTTGAATCTCTTGAGTCCATTGATCTTGATGTTCCTATTGTCAAGAGAAAGGGTGTGAGATCTTGTACTCAACATCCTATCTCAAATTTTGTGTCCTACTCTCATTTGTCATCCTCATATAGAGCATTTGTGTCAAATATTTCCTCTGTTAGCATTCCTAACCATTTTGCAAGATGCTCTTGCTACCTCTGAGTGAAAACTTGCCATGATTGAAGAAATGAAAGCACTTAGGAAGAATGATACTTGGGAATTGATTGAGTTACCTATGGGCAAAAGACATGTGAGATGCAAATAGATGTATACTGTGAAATACAAAGAGGATGGTTCTATTGAGTGTTACAAGGCTAGACTTGTGGCAAAAGGGTTCACTCATACATATGACGTTGACTATCAGGAGACTTTTGCACCCGTGGCTAAGATGAATTCAGTCAGAGTACTTCTCTCTCTAGCAGCTAATCTAGATTGGCCACTTCATTAGTTTGATGTAAAGAATGCCTTTCTCCATCGTGACCTCAAAGAAGAGGTATATATGGACATTCCTCCTGGTTTTAAGGATCATCACACAGAGGGCAAAGTATGCAGGCTTTGGAAGTCATTATATGGTCTCAAACAGTCTCCAAGGACTTGGTTTGAGAGATTCACTCATGCTATGCTTAAATATGGCTTCAAACAAAGTCAGACAGATCACACCTTGTTTGTGAAACTGTTAGAATTTACCATCACTTACCACCAATTTACCATCACCTACCACCACCTACTCCTCACCTACTACACTCACCCTCTCCTATATAATGAGCCACTCACCATTTGTAATATACAAAATCAATATATATTCCGGTTAGTTTCTACAAGGGTCCGACAAGACTCTTGTAGACGCTTGGTTGAGTTTCCAGTGACAAAATTGGGCACACCTTTTGAGGGTGCCACTTTTACAAGGGTCCGACAAGACTCTGTAAACTGTCCCGACATTGATTCCGGTTAGCTCCTTCAATGGTCCGACAAGACTCTGTAAACTGTCCCAACATTGATTCCAGTTAACTCCTTCATGAGTCCGACAAGACTCTGTAAACTGTCCCAACATTGATTCCAGTTAACTCCTTCATGAGTCCGACAAGACTCTGTAAACTGTCCCAACATTGATTCCAGTTAACTCCTTCATGAGTCCGACAAGACTCTGTAAACTGTCCCAACATTGATTCCAGTTAACTCCTTCATGAGTCCGACAAGACTCTGTAAACTGTCCCGACATTGATTCCGGTTAGCTCCTTAATGGGTCCGACAAGACTCTGTAAACTGTCCCAACATTGATTCCAGTTAGCTCCTTCAATGGTCCGACAAGACTCTGTAAACTGTCCCAACATTGATTCCAGTTAACTCCTTCATGAGTCCGACAAGACTCTGTAAACTGTCCCAACATTGATTCCAGTTAACTCCTTCATGAGTCCGACAAGACTCTGTAAACTGTCCCAACATTGATTCCAGTTAACTCCTTCATGAGTCCGACAAGACTCTGTAAACTGTCCCAACATTGATTCCAGTTAACTCCTTCATGAGTCCGACAAGACTCTGTAAACTGTCCCGACATTGATTCCGGTTAGCTCCTTAATGGGTCCGACAAGACTCTGTAAACTGTCCCAACATTGATTCCAGTTAGCTTCTCCAACGGTCTGACACGACCACACAGTGTCTGCTACATCGGTCCGGCATGACCTCGTAAACTGTCCCGACATTGATTCCGGTTAGCTCCTTCAAGGGTCCGACAAGACTCTGTAAACTGTCCCGACATTGATTCCGGTTAGCTCCTTCAAGGGTCCGACAAGACTCTGTAAACTGTCCCGACATTGATTCCGGTTAGCTCCTTCAAGGGTCCGACAAGACTCTGTAAACTGTCCCGACATTGATTCCGGTTAGCTCCTTCAAGGGTCCGACAAGACTCTGTAAACTGTCCCGACATTGATTCCGGTTAGCTCCTTCAAGGGTCCGACAAGACTCTGTAAACTGTCCCGACATTGATTCCGGTTAGCTCCTTCAAGGGTCCGACAAGACTCTGTAAACTGTCCCGACATTGATTCCGGTTAGCTCCTTCAAGGGTCCGACAAGACTCTGTAAACTGTCCCGACATTGATTCCGGTTAGCTCCTTCAAGGGTCCGACAAGACTCTGTAAACTGTCCCGACATTGATTCCGGTTAGCTCCTTCAAGGGTCCGACAAGACTCTGTAAACTGTCCCGACATTGATTCCGGTTAGCTCCTTTATGGGTCCGACAAGACTCTGTAAACTGTCCCGACATTGATTTCGGTTCGTTTCTACAAGGGTCCAGCAAGACTCCGTAAACTGTCACAACAACT